AGTAACCATAAAACAAAAGATAGACTGATCTGACTAAACAAAACATGAAAATTTATTTTAATCAAAAGATACCTTAAAGAAAATGAAAAGACAAGCTAAATTCTAGAATACAACTGCAGCACATATGATGGGTAAAAGGTCAGTATCAGGAATGCACAAAAAATCTGAGAAATCAAAAAGAACCACCATCTTAATAAAAAAATGAGCAAGAAAATCATGAACTGACATTTCAAAAAGAAGATACCCACGCGGCCACTAACGAACAGAACAGAACATATTTCTTAGTAACAAAGGCTGCAAAACAAACTACAGTGAGCTATTCATTTATGTCTATTTTACTGACAAGAATGAAGGAGCCTGGCAATATCAGATGGTGGAGAAAATATGAATCAATGGCATCTCTCTGTCATTGCTGGTGGAAGTAAAAATTATTATAACCACTTTAGAAAATAACTGGGTATCTTAGTGTTCCAAGTCCGTAGTTATCCAAAATTCAAGAACAGTGAGAACTCACTGATAGTGTTTGAGCATCATGGTCGCCTTTGTAGGAGGTGATGTGGACTGGTGGGGGTCTATGAAGAGTATCCTAAGGTTTTTATCTTAACCTGAATGGAGGTTACTTGGATTTATTCATGTATAAAAATTTATCAAGCTAAACTCTTTTAAGATTCTTAAGCGCATTAAGGTATGTTAATTACACTTTGGTTAAAAAAAAAAATTGAAAAGAGAAGAAACAGAGTAAAGGGAATATATGGAAATCCAGTGTAGACATTTCTTCTAAGAATAAAACATCTCCAAGAAGTTGATTGTACAGACAGTCACACCAATTAGAAGCAATTTAAGAGCAAAGGAAGGAAATAAGAAAACAGTTCCTGAGAAGTAGGAGGTGCAACCTGGACCCGGGTGCAGGGACTGGTCACGGCTGGGGTGAGACTCCTCTGCAGAAGTGACAATAGAGACTGCAGGCAGCAAGCAGATGCATATGAGTCTGAAAGGGCTGATAAGCAAGCATGTAAGCAGTCTTTATTTCCAACATGCATTTTGTCATTGGCTGAGACCTCAATGGCTGGGGGGTAGTGAAGATTTGGAATAAGGTGAGCAGCTGGGACAGCGGGTGCAGGAGACAGCTGGATGAAGGTGTGGGGCATATGTGGAAAGACAAGAACCAAGTGTTAGCATCATTTAGACAAGACACAATGAGAGTGCTGGATCATGGCACTGGAAGTGTTCAGGGAGGGGATAGCAGGACAAACTCAGATGTGGGAGATATACAATAAGCTAGACTTGGGGATAGCTGGGTGACAGGTCTGATGAAGACAGAGGAACCGAGGGCTTGTTCAAGGTTGTTTCTGGCCTTCTCCACCTCTTAGACGGCAGGGCCATTCACTAAAACTGGTGCCCCAAGGAGGTCCCAGCAAGCAGCTCCTGTGGTCTCCTCCCGATCTGCAGGCTGCAGTGACCCCCCACTGCAGCTCTTGGCTACTCACCTGGGGAGGTGCTCTGGGCAAGGCCTCTCTTCACCGTCCACAGCTCCTGCCCAGGCTCCAGCAGGCAGATCAGTTCTGGTTTGGGAACAGGGTACCCTGTTATGGAGACACAGGACAAAGGTGTCTTGTAAAGACAAAAAAGAAGCTCTCTATAGATGCAGTGTTTGAGACAGGGGGGATTTCAGAATGATGGTGCTCCCGTGAATGCAAAGATAATGTTGACCTATGACCTGGAAACCAAGGCGCAAACACTATCCCTGTGTGAAAAGGCTGCAGAGGGCAATCTGCACAGTACCCTCCAGCCTACAGAACTCAACACTGTTCAGGTGCACACCCCTTTCACACACAGCCAAAGGACCCTGGGAAGATGACCCCCCCCCGCCCCCATCCTAGCTGTTTTCTAATTAACCTAATTCAGTGGGTCTCACTCTCCGAGTCTCACCATATGCCTGGCTCTCACCAAACTCCACATCAAACCAGGTTTCTGAGGCGAGGCCTGAGTACCAATAGTTTCTGAAGTCCCCTGGGTGATTCCAGTGCCCAGGGAGCAATGAAGGCCCTGATCTCCACCAGCCTCCAAGTGGGACCTGCAGTCATCAGCACTCGGAGGCAGACAGGTGACTGAAGCCTGTTACTTACTCAGAAGATAAAATCTTGACCCCTGCACCAGGGAGAGGGAGCAGGAAAATAGAGCATGGGGCTGGCCTCAGTAACGTGCCACAGTCAACAGGCAGCAGAGCTGGGACTGGATACCAGGCAGCCTGGTTTTGAAGCCTGGCCTGCTGAGCACTGCACTGGGGAGAAAAGGGCTCACGGGCCCTGTTTGGGGCCAACAGCAAGAGAAAGTGGACCACTGAGAGGGGTTGGGGGGAATACAAGGGAGGATTTAACTGCCCAGGACCAGGGGATGGTGGGAGGGGCTGACTTGGTGATGCCTAAACTTGTGCACTGCAGAAATCACAAAAAAAGTAGACATAGGGAAACCCACATAGTGACTTGGATAGATGAGGACAGTTACAAAACATCAACTATCATCTTTCTCAACATCGTTTCACAAAGGTAAGGGCTTGTACCATCAAGGAGGGTAGAGGGTGGCATCTCACCATGAAGGGGCATCTTCTAAGTTAAGATTAAACTTCAGCATTTTAGCTATCTGTGACATTCACTGCAAAGGCCGTATTTTACATACACAGTGGGGTGGAAGAGCCTGCTAGGGGCTGGGAATGTTCCCAAGATGGACCTGGTGAAAGTCACACTGGTAGGTACTCAAGTAAAACATGCACTGGCTGAGTGCTTAAGACTATTCACTTTACTGAAATAATGTTAGAAATAGAATCATAACATTGAATAATATATAAGTGAATTAAAGTAATCATAATGAATTTTTTTGCTCCAAAATTTGATTGTGATCTTTGGGGAGGAGGTCCCCAGAGAGGAGAGAATTGCGTTTGGAATCGGGCAGCTTTGGGAAACCACTGAACCTCACAGGACCTAGCGAGGATTCAATGGGTAGAGCAATGAAATGGCCTGGAACAGGCCTGACTCGTTGTCAGAGGACATTAGCTGTGACTACTAATTATTACTCATGACATCTCTTTAAACCAAACTACTTTTTATTTTTCTGAAATCAATTTCTTCAAAAAGAGAATCTTGTATCACTCCGGAAAATGGGGAAAAGTTTCCCTCACCAAAAATGGAAGGTTGCCACCAAAAGACAATGATGACATCGAAACCATGTCATGAAGTCCCAGAGAGTTCACACCTGCTCGGGGCTTCATGTGAGCTGCAGGCTATTGGATGCAAATGATGCTGAAGCAGACACCAAGGGCCAAAGCATCCTTGTAATTGAAACTGTGTTGTTTACAAAGATGATGGTGGCACTGATGGCAAATGCCCCCTGGGGGCCTGCCTGACTTTGCCCCTTCTCGAAGAATCTTCTCATCATCTGTGAGCCTGCTAAGTGGGCTGTGAAGTCACTTGAGCCAACCAGGCTGGGCCATTTGGATCCCTCTCATGGAATCTTAATAACTGCCCTCGGCTGAGTCTGTGCTGGACACTGGGGTGAGAAGTCGAGAGACGTGTGGGCTCAATTGGTCACTTCCTTCCACGAAAGTACCACTCAGAGAAGGCATGATATAAACACGCAGAGAAAAGTAGAGATAAGAAATCTGAGGGTCTCGGAGACCAAGGACTGAGGTACCTATGCCTACCAACCAAAAGCTGTTGTGAAAAGACAGTCACACGAGCATACCCACAGAGAGAAGCCAGGACAAGACCCAGAGCCGGGCGCAACCTTGCTTCCTCTCAGCTACTGAATACAGTTCCTCACGGGGATGGGCTGGACATCCTGCTCCTGGGTTCTGCCTGACACCCCATGTCCTTCCACAGGAAGTGAGCCCAGAACATGGCGGGGATGGTGAGGAGGAGGCATGTGGTTGCAGAGGCCTCCTACACCAGCCAGGCCTTGAAAGAGAGGACGGAGGCAAGGAGGAGGTTCCCCGCAGAGGTGAGAAGAAGCCTTACCCAGTGAGACCAAGAGCTTACAGGTCTCCAGTATCACCTTCCGGTACAGGGTCTTCTGAGCTGGGTAGAGGAATTCCCACTCCTCCCGGGTGAAGGTCACGAACACATCCTTGAAGGTCAATGGTGCCTGGAAAGTCAAACACAGTAGCATCGTGTGCTTCAGGGTTGTTGGGTGGGATCAAAGCCTGTTACTCAGTCACTGCTGAAGGTGCAGAGACCCAGGCCCAAATCACCGAGGCCTCCTGAGGGCCGAGCTCTGTGCGGAGTTCAAGAGGGAGGCTGACGTGGCTAAGGAAAAAGCCTTCAGTGGTGGAAACAATGGCGATGACACAGATGATGGTAGTCTCGTAGGACTGTGGGGCAAACAGCAAGTGCTCTGGGAGGTTGGAGGAATAAAAAGAAACGATCATGATGACAATTCCAACACTGGAAACAGCAGCAGTGGCGGCCAGGTGAAGGGATTAGATGTCCCCAGCTTCGGGGCCAGACGCCTGGGTTTGAATTCAACCTCTTGAATCCAATGCCTGCCTGCTGTGTGATGTCAAGGAAGCCACTTTGATTCTCTGAACTGTGATTTCCCCCATCAGTATAATAATTCTTACCTCATAGGCTATTGTAATAATTCCAGAGAAAACGTTCACACAGCAAACACAGAGTCCCTGGCTCGTGACAGTGCTCTGTATATTTTGTTACTTTTATGAATTCTTCCACAGCCATGAAGGTAAACATTGTCATCAGCTCCATGTCACTGTCAGTGAGCTGGGGCTCAGGGAGCTCTGGTGAGTCCTCCAGAGTCACCAGTCTACATAACAGATGGGATCTGAACCCAAGTCCTTCTGGTCTAGGGTCTATGGTAACCCTCACTCTCCTCCATTACCAGACTGAACTCTCAGTGACAACCGTTGCTGTTATATCCATGTCAGCCACCCCTGAATATATTTCTGGGGACATGCACAGAGGATCAGAGCGTTCCTCACTCACCTCATGGGACAGGCACCGAGGGGGATGCCACTTGCCCTGGGAGTGGCAGGGCCTGGACCAGCTTTCCGCACCCACTTGGGTCCCCCAGCCCTCGCAGACTTCCCAGGAGACTCCACAATGAGCCATCAGTCAGTTTTCCTTCATGAGTCCTGATGCACGTGTGTCTCAGGCACAGATACCTTGAGGGCCAGGAAACGCAAGTGCGTGAAGACAAGGCAGCCTCTGGCTGGCCAGAATGTGTCTTGGGTAAGGGTGAGTTGACCATACACTCTCCCCTCCCCTAGACACGTCTCAGCAGGTAGTGGAGCCCTTGGTGACAAGACCCTCTCGCGCCTCCTTAAATAACTCTGTCCTCACTGCCTCTGTCCATCAGGATCCCTCTGCTCAGGATGGCTTCCCTAGCCCTCTTTCTCCCAAAGCTCACCTGAAGGAGAAGGCCCTCTCAGGGCCATCCTAACTCACTGTGGTTAGGGAAAAAAGGCTCTGGTTGCCAATGGACAAGGTGTGAACTTCAATGACTTAAGAGCAGTGTGAGCTTGGGCAGGTAACTTAAGTCTCTGAGCCTCAAACTCCTGTTCTGTAAA